GACATACTCTACTTGAACCTGTCTTAGTATGAACATTGCGGTGAGATTGGAAATAATAAGAATGTATGTGGTAGCAATCACGATTTTTACAATGATGATTACATTTAATAGCTTCTCTCTTGCTTCAGCTATGTTTATTTGATACAGTACTCTATGTTAGTTTTGTGCACATTACTGTAACATTATTGTTTATATGTATGTGTGCATTTCACGTGATTTCGTCAATAAATATTTTTTAAAGTGGTTCCTTGTTTAGAATTTCGATGACAAAGTAAGAACAATTATTTGATAGATATAGTTTAAATATGGATTGATATTAATATTTAAAAAAGAAAAATGATAATTAGTATATTACAAGGAGGCTTTCTACTCCCAATCATAAAGAACATTTGTCCATGTTTTGAAAATTGTCAAACAAAATTGAGTTGTGATTGTTTCTTCTTGCTTGTTGACAATTCTGCATTATCTTCCATCAATTTCCTCAACCTCAAGGTCACACATACTTGTGGGCTCTATGGTAAAAATTCAGTGGCTTAAAATAGATACTTTTTGATATTTGTAAATTATGATTCAATCCATAATAATAAAAATAAATGTTTTTTTTCATATACCTCTAAATTACAATTAATAAAGTTTAAGAAAGGAGACATATTTCTAGTCTTTAAATATATAATTGAACTAAAAACTATGCATATTTAACCACAAGAGATAATGGTGGTAGAAAATACATAGTCAAGTTCTGATTTATTGCCTAACATCTGTTGGTCGCGTGGCTTGTCTGATCATTGGGTTTACTGTTTGGGTTGTAGTAGTCAGCAAGCGTGCCATTAAAATGCAGGAGGTTAAAAGTCACTGCCAAGGTTAAAAAGGTCGAAGGATTTATCACTCCACTGTTGTGGATGCTATGTGATGGATGCTGGAGATAGAATTGCATATGCTACTGCCATTGCACTTAGCTAGAGATAACATTAATATTATTGATAATGACTACATTTCCAACTAGGGAAGCTTACTGATTGCGGCTGATATAACCTAAATTTAGTGAATAGTATTATAACTATTATCTATGATTGCTCAATCCTAGAGTTTACATTTTTACTGTACTTATTTTGCATAAAGAATTGTACTAATATTTTTGATAATTTCTATGTTTTTATATACTTTTAAAAAATGGGTTATTTTCTCTTTTTTTTAGATACTTAGGAGGAGCTACAGTATGATAATTTAAAAAAAATGTACACTTTTATAAGAAAATTGTGGCTTAAAATTCCTTAAAAAATAAAAACAAAAAAATGTGGCTGAGGTGCAGTAAAATATCAAATGAGGTTTGTATTTAAAAAAGAAATAATAATAATTAAAAAAAAAAACAAATCAAAGTAGTCACATATACAGTAGTAAACTATTAATGTTTAAAAAAAGGTAGTAGTAAGTGCGACTATTTAGACCTGTAATACACTTTCTAATACTGTATAAGTAATACACTGCAAAAGATAAGAACATTGATTCTGTGCAAAATTTTACTGGTTCTTATAAAAACAATTATATAGTTCACATAGGTCCTATATTACAGTAATTGGAATTTTTAACAGCTCATTAAATATGACATGGACAGCCCTAGCTACCTTATATCCTCTGTTTACCTTTCTATGCTGACGCGGAATGTCAATAAAGCAGTGATGGAATGTAACTTTTAAGTACCAAGGGAGGAACAAAGATCTCTCGACAACACCTGGCTTATCATCACCTAAGTCCCATTCCGACAGATGTCCCACAAAACGATGTTCACGCAATATTGCAAATATATTTCATACCGAGTGTGCATCGCATTAAACCTTTAACAGTATAAGGCACAATAAAAATTTTAGTTTATCACCATCTCATGTATGTATATTATTGAAAAAAATATATATTTTTAAAAAAAAGACTATTTAAAATGTTTGTTTTTTTTTTAAATAATTGTCAAACATTTTTTCCATTTTTTTCAGTAAATAGTTAGGGATATATACTGTACTGGTATATTGTAGCCCTGATTTTGGTCAGAGTTAAAATCCATGCCAGCCAATTTATTATTCCGCTATTAACAATAATAATAATTATTGGTGTACATTATACTCTAAGGCGTACATTATTATATGTCCTGGCAGATTATGCTTATTTGAAGAGTTTGTGGCAATGCAGGTATATCTGATAGGTCCGTATTGATTTTGACATTAGCCTGGTACAGCAATACTCTAGTAATAAAAGAAATTGGTAGGTTACAACAATGGTTTATGGGATAGATGCATGTCTTTCTATGACTGGCTGACAGATGATCATGTGACGTGCTAATTGTTATTATGTTTGGACTACATGATGAAATTTAAAATTCTGTAAACCTTTAACCCCCATTATAATTCAACAATCAGTATTAGTGCATCACTAGACTGGCTAATGGAAGATCATGTGGTCTATTAATTATAGCTGTTGAATTAATTATTGATCTTTTACAGGAAGAAATATTTAATTCTGTATTTTCATATTCACAATTGCAGAGACCTGATAGTAGATCAGTGTCATACTGTATTTAATGGTAACCTTTTTAGTAAAAGAATGTTAAGTATTATAAAGTATAGTTCTTGCATCTTGACCTTGTCGTAATTTGCAATAGTGATTTACAGTTAAGTCATGCATTGGCTAATACTCAATTCAAAATAACAATTAACTACCTTTGTAGTCACAATCGCCCAGTGTTATGTACACAACTATTTTAATCAAAGCCGTCTACAATACCTTGTTGAGATACGCCTACTTGAGTTATTTCAATCCTAAAGACCAATTTTACAGTAACTAGTAACTCTAGCCGCTACCATTGGAACAAACAGTCCTTCTGATGCAGATCATTCTATGGATTTTTTTTGTAAATTTTTTGTTTTATTTCCTATTTGTGGCTTTGTGTGGGAGATGGTCATGTGATTTCTGAGGATATAGTGAATGACAGTCATGATAAACTTTGGTTTATTTCATTAAAACACATAAAATATATACATACAGTATAAAACATAAGGATAGGCAGACAAATAACAAATTCTGAAATTTACAAAAGCCCAACATGGTAAAAATGATAATTGCAGTAATAAAACAAAATTATGTACAAAATTATTTACATACGGTACAAAAATATACAGTACTGACATTACAATTACACAGGGAATTATAAGATTAATACAAATATTAAAATATATTAATTATGAAAAATATAAAAGAAAACCAATTAAAACAATATTTATTAAAACATTCTATACACTCTACCTTAAAAAAATTACATTTAAACAACAACAAAAAAACCAAAATATCATTGCAGGACAATTTAATTATGTAAAGTTGAGGGAATATTTTTGTTTTTGCACATCTGTTACCTGTAATATAATTCTATAAATAATTCATGCCATTAATATAAGGTTAATAAATTGTCAGAAAATGTTATGAACATCCCAAGATCTTCAATACATTATAAATAATTGTGCATATTAAACCTCAAGCCTGTTAACTACGGAATTCCACTATTTGCGAGACTGTGGCATGTATTATGCTTGTGTACGTCTATTATTTTAAATATTGTGTGTTAAAATTGAATAAATCACATAAAAATGTAGGACAGTATGACTTGGTAGACATAAAGGTTACATAGTATCAAAGAAATTGTCAGTAGAGTCTACAGTATATCCCTGTGGTCTATACCAATATATCCTAGTAAATCTATCATTGAAGTGTAGTTTTTGTGTGCCAAAATAATTACTTACTTTATTTCCCATTATTACAGACAATAGTTTGTCAGCAAATATAATTTTTTTTCAAAATAATAATCTTTATGATCAATGTTATTTCAAAAGGTAAAGGGTGGTGAACTCACCCAGACATTGATAGATGAAACAAAGATGATATTTATACGATGTGATATTTTAAATTTGACAAATGCATAATGAATACATGCAGAAGTAAATACATTAGACAATGCGCCTCCTTAGCTGTAAGATCAGAATTAAGTAGGAAAGTTCATTCACACGTCACACAAAATTTCCTCCATTTTTCAAATGTAACCACAGTTATTACCGGGAGTAATATCACTCTAGACAATATCTTTATGCATATTAAACCTAGTAATTATATATTTTGGCTCCGAGTCATAAGTAATCATCACACGGTGAACTATGCCTGGATTATTGACCCCTCTCTCCTGACGAAGTTCTCCTGGTAGATCATCCATCATCAGAAACATCATCATGATTTAGTATCTACGGCAACTAATCTTGAAGCAGGAATGCTACATCATGTGTGGAATTTATAGACGAGCATTTATTCTTGTGTGGAGGCTATATACACCTAATATTTCTCCTGAAATTAATGGATTGGGGATGGATTTAAAAAATCAATGTGATTTTGTAACAAATAAATTATAAGGGTTGATTAATTTTTACCCTGAAAAACACATAGGCTGCAGTTTGCAGTCTCAAAAAAGAAACATGGATTATTTTTCACCTGATTTGAATATTCATGTGGACTTATTTGCATAATTTAATTACAATATTAATACATAATTTTAATGTACGTAAGGGCATGATTAAATTAAATAATTTTTTAAATCTAATTTATACATTTTTCAGTGCTGATAGTATTTGTTAATATAAATGTGCAGTTTTGTTGTCTGATGATTTAGTAAATATGATACGTTAAATTTAGTGACACTACTTTTTATTGTGGACAATGGTAGTAATTCTTGAATTATGTTACCAGGGAATTGTAGGTTGTGGATGTCCTAGTTCTGTACAGTAGTGCGTGAACTTCAGTAATCATATTTGTACAATAATCCAAACAGCTGAAACCTAACCTGCTGTATAAGAGCATGCTGGTATAAGTCAACAACAACCTGACCCTTCAACACTTGATTACAGTACTGTAGGTTACACATTAGGATTCTAAAGTTATCATTAATAATTTTGTTCTATACTTTTGTTTTTTTTCAGGTGGACAGGGACTTTCAGGCAAGCCTCCCCCTCTCACAGTTGTGCCAGTCTCCTCAAACAAGCCAACACGTACAACCGCAACAGTGACCCCTCTCAGTCAGTCGGCAAGTACGATGACGGTAACCAGTGGCAACAGTTCCAGTAATAATGCCATGAGTACGACGAGGACTTCAAGCTTCGCAGCTGCTTTGAGGAAACTCGCGAAGAAAGCCACTGATATCCACGGTATTTACCATTCAAGATTAAGTAGTATATAGTAGAAATTCTCCTTCGGGAAACCCTCATTAAGAGGACACTCCTATAAGGGGACACTTTTCCGGGCATGAAATGAAGGGAAGTATATCTTTTAACACTATGGCTAACCCCTAGTTCAGGGGATGCACCCTTGGGCAACAGTGACCCCTCTCAGTCAGTCAGCAGGTACGATGATAGTAACTAGTGGCAACAGTTCTAGTAACAATGCCATGAGTACAAAAAGGACCCCTAGGGACACTGTTGTTCACAATTGTGTCTTCTAAATAGGGGTTCTAGCATATTTTTATTCAATGAGTAAAAAATTATTATTTTATTAGACCACATGAAAATAAAGGTTTATCATCCTATCACTGTTTAAAGAAGAGGGAGATGATAAAAATCCCCCTTTTCCCCCCACAAAGATCACCACAACATATATTATACTGGATAGTATAATTATGCCTGTGGCAGGCCTCAACATACAAGGATTTATATGTGAGAATTGACATTTGTTAAAAGTTGTTCAAATACAAAAACTACAATTACAATTAAACCATCTGGGTAGTTTCACTCATTTATGTGTATGTCAAAGGTCAAAACAAAGACAAATTAGCTTGTTACACAGCAACATGTGTATTCTCGTTAACAGAATTAATATTATTAATTCACGTTCATTTTATACAAGCTCAGATTATGTGTTTATGGTTGGATCTACTCCAGATGGCTTATTGTATCATGTTCATAAAATTCCAAAAGCACATGAAATTATGAAATTACGGTCAACATAAACCTGTATAATTATGATTAATTTTAGGAGATATCCCGAAAATTGCATTAAATTTGTAATTTATTAATGAACCATCTTCCGACTATCGACAAATTGGCTATTATACTGTAGATTATCATTTTGACTAGCTAAAAACATGCAGCTTAAAAACCAGTAAGCTATATACCGTAATTTCTGCCCATGTAATTCCTGGCCCCAAAACCTAGACTCAGAAATACTGGGTTGGCGGGGAATATTTTTCCACCATAGTTTAAAAGACTATTCCTAGAGGGGTCTGTGGTGCTATATAAATACACTTTTATTTATTATTAAATGATCCCCAGTAGACGCTGTGGTAACTGATGACGTTTACAGTATTCGAGAGTGGAGATTGTAAAATACAGTACTGGTGTGTTTGAACTACGTACAGCATTTAGTACCATATAGGCCTACTATCTGTGTTCCATCATAAGTATTACTGTATTCATTTCATGAGAAATCATTTATTAGTTTCTTGATGATACAAACATCTACATACGTTTTTTTCTCTCTTAAGTTAATGCCATAAAATTTAATAAAGCGATGGGTGGAATTTTTTGGTGTGAACACCAAGAACAATCAACGAAAGTCTAAAGAAAACTGATTTAAAGTGGGGTCCTTCTGGTGGTGATTGGGGATATATGAGAGGAGAAAATCCCCTATTTTTTTACTGCATCCTTTAAAATGCGCACAGGAATTGAACTGGGGACCAAGAAATCTTCGCGGTTCAGCACACATACAGTAGCCACCACCAGTTTAGCCAACTGAGCTAGGTGTTCCGACTGAGTTGCATCACCTACAGTATTTAAGAGCAATTCTTAACGTAACAAAATCAAGCTTGGTTTGGTGATAATTGAAGAGCAGCTTTTATTATAAAGATGTGTTTATTGTATTATTATCGGTATACAGTATATGTATTATCATTATTTTTGTTGAGCAAAATTGCATTGCTAAATAAAGGGTACATGCAGTACTTCATCATGATATTGTATTTAATCAAAATAAAACTAGTTTAAATTTATGATTTATGAAACAAATTGCTAAGAATCCAAGCTGATCTGAACTCATTTAATTTCCTCAAAAATGACGTGCTGTAAAATAGCAGACATGCAGTAAAAATAGTAAAATACTGTAATCATTAACAAAAGCTACCTATTCAAAGAGATTAATAACTCTTAAGCAAAGTAAAATTACAAATATAATAAATCTTTGTGAGTTCTCTTGTACACTTGTGACAGCCATCTATACCCTATTGTTTGCTACTATATTTTATGACGTGAACTGTGCTATAAATTACTTCCTCAAACAAAGACCATGTTAACTCCTATTCTACAAACATATTTCCACTTCTGCGAATAGTCTTGCTTTTCCTAATATGATCATATTGCAAGCCTCTGCCCTACATCGGTGCACAGGGTATCACCCTCTGACCTTTTTCCTGATCTCTGACTGCTAGGATATATAAAAGCTGTCAGTCTTCATCACTTCCCTCAATCAATAGTACACATATTCATAGGGTATCCAATGTAGACTAGGTCAGGGTTTATCATTTAGTGATAGCCTCTCATTTTTAAAAAGCTAAAAAATTGTATGATGTTTATATAATTTATAAAGTAGGCCTATTGTTTTTCTTTAATACTAAAGATGCCCAAGTGTTTTTTTTTGTGTTTTTTTTCATCTCCTGCATTTTTTAATTTTCACACACTCTTGTGTGAGGCTAGGCCTGGCCTAGATTTAAGATGTGTGTTGGTGGCCATTTTTGAAGTAGAAAATGGGGACATTGTCCTCCTTAACTTGGATGAAAGATGTGTTAGATGTCATATTTTGATGGATGTGTTGTAAATGATTATGGTGAGATTTCACATAATGGCTACATATAAGCAGTAAATTATAAAAAAAAATTTGAAGTATTATAAGATATTTTTAAGATTGATAATAAATTTTAGGATTATATTCCTTTGCTGATTGAAAATTTTTATATAAGTAGACTACTTCCAATTCAATGTAATGTCTATTAAATTATGCTATAAATACTACTTTTCAAAACATTATCTCCAGAAGATATTGCTAAATTTAATGGTGTAAAATTTATTTAATTTCCTTTATTGTTGTATGTTGTTGGTTTTGTTGTTGTTAAGTATTTATATGTATGCATTGCAGATGAACCAGTGTCTGATACATCGCCCTCATCAGCAAGCCGTAATTCTACCCCATCTCATAGTAGCAAGTCGTCGCACATCATCCCCACACCGCATATGATTCCAACCAGCACACCGCCTGTGGTCACGATTGCGCCAACGCAAACAGCGAACCATGGATTGGACAGCAAACGGGTACGTATGCTTGATATCAAAGGTTAACAAACAAATAAGTTTCATTGATTTCAGAATATTTATATATTCATCTTATTTAATACGAGTGGCCCTAAAACAATTTGATTCATATTTGTCACAACATACCTTTGTATTAGACGAACCATCAGTCATTTTCATAATTAGGAATACGGATATTTTATTTAGATATCGATATTTATACAACTAATTAATTTTCTGGAACTGCCAAAGGAACTCATCGCAAATCACAATTTGAAAGTTTTACCTCAGCAAAATAAAAAGGCATTGACATTGTTGACAAGATTGTCTGCAGCAAAGTTGTGTTGTATTTCCTATCCTTTTAATAGTGGCTCAATGACCGGTGGTCAACTGCTTTGCCTATGTTGTATATTACATGTAACAAGATTTATTTATATAAAAAGCCAAAATAATATTATTTGCACTCTTCATGTACATTGTCAGTGGTCCTGTTAGCATGTATGTTCTATGTTATAACAACTTACAGAAAATCACAATCAAATATATTTAAAATTGTACTATGGCATTTAATAGTGAAACAATGGTATGTGTGGTGGAGAAAGATGTGAGCTGTTAAAACCTGTGGTTTCACCAGTGTTTATTATCAGCATTGAAAGGCATAGCCATCTGTGAACATATTTATCTACAGTGGGCAACTGATATAGCTTCATGGCATGTAATAAAAATTCATTATTTAATACCAACTAATTCATTATACCAGACCACAAATCCTATTCACACTTTAATAGAGCAAAGGCTTTTTGTCAATGGCAATTCATGTAGTGTTATTATTTTTAGTTATTGGAATTCATCCATAAATTTACATAGATATAAGTTAATTCATGCATTGTCAATTATAAGAGTGTGCACACAACATTGATTAATGGTACTCTGCTTCTCAACCTTTGAGGTCGTTGGTTCAATCCCTCACTGTGCATTTCACTTGTGTCCTTGGGGAAAGGTACTTTACCTATGGCTTTTTCTCTCCACCCAACTGCCACAAAATGCACTGATTACAAGCTGTAAAATTATGTAATTCGCCCATTGACCTAAGTTTGATGTTCCATACTGTATGTACTTGATCCCAAAACCATGGGTACTAACAGCAATATAAGTCAACATAATATTATTGATATTAATTATGTGAATACATGTATAGAGTCATGAATAGTCATCAGATATTCTTTCAACACCTGTTTATTAGGTGTGGGCCTGCTTATGTTTGGAAGTTGATGATGTTTGAAAGTCATTGTACTTACTTTAAATTTTATTATTGATTTTCCAAGCGAAGTTCCTTTGTTGTCCAACCACCCTCTCACGTCCTGAAGGACATTCACGGTCGATAAATGAATTTTGAGCAACAAAATAATAATGTTATATTTTTTAATCATAATAGCTATAAATTTTGTTGTAGATTCACTATTGTCTTCTTAGTTGAATATTAGCATTGTATCGACTTTCTTTTATTTCATATTTTGTTTATTATTGAAACACTGTTATATTCATGATAGTTATTTTGCTGTAAACATTGCGGCAGACATGGAAGAGCAATTAATGAATTATATTGATTTTTCGATGTGTCCTTCAACATTTTTTATGTTTTCTATTCCATTTTATATATTAAACCAAATTTTACTTCTCAAGGCCTAGAGCCAATTTGCCTGTTATCTGCCAAAAGGAAAAAAATATTACAATAATTAGAAAAATACATTTAAAGATAAACAGCAATATAAAAAGTATATGAATGATATTAAATGAATATATAAATATATGATAAATATACTTTTTTTAAATAAAACTATCAAAATAATTAAGTATATTTTATTTGATCCAAATATTACTGAAGCTCTATTGTTATTTATTTATAGTAGAAGTTATGGAAGAAAAATGTAATAATCAATAACTTGTAGAAATTCCATTTTAAAACCACTTTAGTCTTCTCCAATTCTGCTGAAATCTATCCATCCCATCTCAAATTAATAAATATTGATCACAATGTCTTTTGTGTGAGAAACAGCTCTTGTTAAAAGAAGTAACTCAATTGTTGTATGCACTATCTTGACCTTGTTGGTGTAGTAGTATATTACTAAATGTTTATAGAAATTTTGTGTTAGACAACCATCTTTATTTTCTGCTAACAGAACAACAAGAAGGATTAATTATTATTATTCTAGCAGATTTCTGCATAAACGTAGCTTATGGATAAAACATCTTTTAAATTTAGAGTGGGTACCAGTACACCTTCTTATTTCAATATACAAAAATCAAATAGGGAACGCCTTATCAGTAAACTTTGCCTTTATTATTGAAAACAGATTGGGTTTTGTTTTGTTTTGTTTTTTTTGGTTTTTGTTTTTTTTTCTTATTGGTATTTGCTTCTCAATTCTGCATCAAACTTCATGACTAACTTATTTGTTTACTGAAACAAATATTTAAGCATTTGGATTGAGACGGTTATGAAGTAATATTTAATCAAGGAAAAAGATAGTTAAAATAAGCTTCTGTTTTGCCATGACAACATAAATATTTGTATGAAATGTAGATGGGCTTAACTGTACATAATTGATTATCACAATTTCAACCAAAAAGGTAAATGTGAGGTCTCACCACAAAATGAGTCTCATGGCTTCGAAATCAAAATATTTATAGCATATTTTTGGTAGTTCGCATTATAAGCTTTAACTAGGATTAAAGTAGATCCAATTCTACGAGTGTTTTAAGTGTAAATGTATGAGAACCTGGTATTGAAAAAAATCAGCCTCAAAGTTAAACCAGCAGCTGTGTACAAAAAAAAGGTCTAGAAGTACAGAATATGCAGAAAGAACTACTACTTTTCTTCTTGGGTTTCGTCCTCTCATGAAGGCTTGGATGCAATGGCTCGCTACTCGTCTCTATTCAACACTCTCCTCATTGTCTTTTACAATAAGAAACTAAACTTTAAAAGTAAACTATCGATTTGGATTGGATTTATTCCCTGTGTAAACCAAGGATAATAAATGAAAAGTCTGAAGGAGGCTTATTTCCAGTGGGGTCCTTCTGGTGGTGATTGGGCAGTACACCGGGAGACAATCCCCTACTCTTTCACGAAGAGTATACTGCGTTTTCTAACTTGCACATGGGTCGTAATGCACACATGACTGCCTTAAACGTCTCCTCTGAAAAGACGGTGCGCTATTGTAACTTGTGTTTTAGCCCTCTAGCTGAAATACAATGAAAGCAGTGATGGGAGTTGAACCGGGGACCAAGAGATCTCCACGGTTCAGCGTACGGATTAGCCGATTGAGCTAAGCTGCTCATAAAATATAAAGTATCAAAGTATTCAGAAACATTAAAATTAAAAATTTGGTGGTTTGGCCTATTTTGGTGATTGCCATATCTCAATTATGAATAATTACCAACGATGTCTCATTCCGTGGAAAGACCTCACACATGTACAGTATGTGCTAATGGGTAATCCATTTACCATGAAATTTACCAAATGGGTCATTTATGCACATATACTGTAACTGAAATATCTTGACATTATGTTTTATTTCTATATTAAAGTTATCTGAAAGTTTGTCCAAATATCTTTAATAAATGCAACAGCTAAAACTTAATCCATTTGGCTGATATAATTTGACATTCAAGTCCACTACCCCAGCAAAAAAACTTAACTGTAGCAAAAAGCTTTTAACTCTTTCTTTAAAATTTATTCACCCTATATTCGCCTCATTTTTTTCTTATCTTTGTTTGCTGTGAAATTGATAGTTATATTTTCGAAAATGTTTAACTTGTGGCAATAAAATAGATTTTACTAATGGTTCAATGAAAATTTGATTTTCAAATGATAACAATATGTAACATGTATTAGTCCCTGTTCGCAAAGAAATGTATTTTTTGGATTGGTTTCTTTTGATTTGAAGCTAGTAATATTTCTGGCTTGTACCTTCCTGATTTTAAAACAACTTTATTTACACACACATATTCAGATCAAAGAAAATACATAACAACATTGTATCCACTGAACCAGAGTGAAAATCAAAGGCGTTGAGAGTTTCTTTAAAACTGATTAAAAAAAAACAGTGCTTTATTAGCATGATGACTGAAGTTGTATTGTCCCCTGAAAATGACAAAATCTAATAAAAAAAATAATTTTTAAATTAACTTTCTCATTTTGCAGGCATAGACATTATTAACTTCACCATAGAAATTATTTAAAATTTAAAAAATGAGCACCCTAATTTTTTATACTGGATAATGATAATAAAAATAATATAATGCCTCCAGTGACTAGAAGAGTTTCTATCATTTTTCGCTGTAAAATGATGGGTATACTAATTTCTATGTTCAAGTTGATCATTTTTGTGTTAATTCACATAAAGATTTTTATTTTATTTTATTTTTTTGTATTTTGCATCTTTAAATAAAAAGTTTACTAATATAATATATTTGGTAGCATTAGCTTAAAATTTCATGTTAATTAAATTAAATCTATATTTTATAATATTATTAATAAGGTTAGCAAAAAAAATGAAAACTAATAACACTATATAGCAGCAATACATACACATTGTAGACAATTTTTTAGAAAGCTCAATTTCTATTTAGCGTTAAATTTATTGAATTTAATCTCTTTTGTAGTTTAGCTTATTGAAGTACCAAAATAGCTTTGCCTTTATTTGGGCAGTTTTATTTTCTTCATGTGATAAAAGCATTCTCCATAATTTGAGAGCAGGAACTGATTTAACTCCTTAGTGATTATGGTTCTCCAGAGTCTAGCCAGGTGTTTTGATTAAGTTGACCCTCCTGTCAAAGGTCAAAAGAAAGAGTTGGGTTGAGTGACAGCCTTGGAATTCAATGCTGATGATTAATGGCCACCAGCAGCCTAACCTCTGACCTATAGTGTAACTGTGTACTTTGTCATGTTAACAATTTCTTTCAATACAGTCAAAACAACATTGTAGTAACATGATCACTATATATTCTTGGATATTATGACT